TTAGCGGGTGGATAGGCGGGCAGTTAAGCTGTCTAGCGGGCGGGTAGGCTGGCAGATAGGCTGGTTAGCGGGCGGGTAGGCTGGCAGGCGGGCATATAGGCAGGCTAGGGGCGAGTAGGCAGGCAGGGAGGTGGGTAAGTGGCCGGGCAGGCAGGGAGGTGGGTAGGCGGCCAGGTAGGTGGGCAAACGGGCAGGTAGGCGGCCAGGTAGGTGGGCAAACGGGCAGGCAGGCGGGTGGGCAGGCAGGCGGGCACATGGGCACCAGGTGCATTTACCTTGAGCTCTCCAGCAGCCACCTTGAAGGCCAGCTCAATGACGCAGCCCACCGCCATGCGCACTGCGCTGGAAGAGTGCATCTCATTCCACACTGTGTCACTGTCCACCTGCAGGGGGCAGCAGTCAGATGCCACAGGGCACTCAGCACTTCTTTGCCGAGGCAATGTCCCTCATACTATAAAAGCTTCTACGTTTCAGTAATCACACATTCCTATATTAAGACTCTTGAAAAGACTCTTTTTTTTGCATCATACTGAAGGAAAAAAGGTAAAACAAATGGAATACCTTTCTGTATATACCTTATATAATTTTACTTTTAAGGGAGGTAAGTAAATCTTCTGCAGTTATGCTTGTTATGAAAAACTGCATTACTGCCACCGTGCTGCACTGCAGTGTAAAAGCAGATCTGAGTCACAGTCAGGAAGGAGCCAATCAGAATCTGGCTGTACCAAAGGGGCTAAAACCATGGCTGGGTGTGGACGTCACGCCAACCCCAAAGCACGTAACCCTCCGAGGCTTGAACCCCGCCCCCCCCCCTTCCTATGCCCCTATGACTCACCCCGATGCCTCCGCAGGGCAGCACCGCGTACATCTTCTGGCTGATGGGACCTGGAAGAGACAGAGCAGACATGAGAGGAAAGGTCAGGGAGCAGAATGACCGCGTCCACAGACCCCTCCTTGTTTTTGCTGCAGCAGAAGTTCAGCTCAGTGTAACTCTGACAGAAACAGTGACGCCAATAACAGCACAAGCAGTTTTATTAAAATTACTACACAGGAGAATCATCTTACTGGGATTATTTATACGAGGACATACAGCAGATATGCCTTAAAAATATATGCAAACATATATACACAAACTCATACGTGTCTGTGATAACCAAATCAAATACTGCACGTACACATGCAGGGAGCAGGAATGGAGCCCCCAGTCCTTGAGATGTGAACCCACTATGCCCCCACATACATATATATAAACAGATAAATATATACTGCATGCACTAAATGCACATCAAAAACCATCACCGTCGAACACTGCAGAGTTAAAGGTCAAGGGCTCTACCCTAAAACTGAGCTTCCGTCTGCCTGATTAGTGTCCTTTTCAGTGCTTACAATCTGGTGTTCTTGACATAAATCATTTATTACAAAGTGAATAATTAATCTCACACATGTGGCACAGGAAAGCTGAAATTCACATATACGCAGCCCCTCCCAAAGCTGAGGGTGATCATGTATCAGAAATTAATCGAAATTTTTCAACTTCAACCTGCACTCAGACCATAAAGATCATCTTCCACTGATCCGTTTTATAAAACTTGGGTCAAATGTTCGACATCACAGGCGGGGACCACAGTCACCTCGCGGATGACCTCACACCCGCAAAGGGAGCCATCTCGGACTCCAGCGTGGAAAGGACGCTGTTCACATCTGGACCCACCATCAAGGTTTCACAAACAGAACGCGATGATTCACGGTCGGAGGAGGGGGGTGGCAGTGGTGGGGGCTCACATCTCCCAGGGCTAAAAATACACCTGGCCATCAGAGGCACTCATCGTTCAGAACACATCAAGCTGTGTATGAGTGTGTGACCAAAGGCTGCTCTGCAGAGTCGAGACCTTGGAGAGTCTGTGATGCAGCCTGCATTTATCATTCAGGAGTTGTCCGCACGCCCACATGAGCTTGCTCAGAGAGACACGCACACACTCGGCTCGCACACTCGTTACGGCACACAAAGACACACATTCCCCCCAAGCACACCCATGCACGAACAGAGATGATGATTCACCTAAGAGCTTTTTGCTGTCCAGCTTCTGCCTGTTGAGAGGACTGGTGCCATATAGCAGGGCGTGATGTTCTGAATGGACCGTCTGGATCTCGTCTAGGGTAGCTTTCCTTCCCCGGATCCTCTGCTTAGACAACACGCTCATATATAAACCCAATCATATAAAGGATCCCAGATTGAAGATTAAGACTGATTGTCCTATAGTCCTCCGACCAGCAGGGGGCCCCGCCCTCACCTCGCAGCGATTGAGCAACCCCGTCTCTTGCAGCCGTGACCACACGCTCTGGATCCTCCCGGCGTGCTCTGGGTGTATGTTCGTGTTCCCGCACATGCACTGGTGCTTCAGCATGAACGTGTCGTACACCACACCTGTGATGGTTGAAGGAGACCATTCATATTACCAGCCATAACCAACATTTCCTGTCATATCTACATAGTCCACGTCACGTTTGTGCAGCACTGTTCCCATCGTTCATTTAAGCGATAAATCCCAGCTTCTGTTTCAGTGCCCTTTAACCTAGAGTGTAATAAGCTGCTTCCCATGTTCATCCTGATTTCCTGATTCATCCCATCTTCGATGCTGCATGTTCTGACCAGGCCTTCATAAAAGCTACACAGACGAGGTGCCCCTGCACAAAGGTGTCACTCTCTCCCCGCTACATCTGCTGTAATTTAATAGGTGACCATTAGAAAGGAAAGCCCTATTCAAACAGACATTAGGCTACAGGCTGGCTGGGTGACCATTACCCAGCAAACAGGATGACGTCATATTTATCAGAGCCAGGGAGGATACAGGCACACTGATATGACATTACTGCTGTGCGATTACTGACCGAATCGAGCAAGTTCCAGTGCAGTCTCACCTGTAGTGAAGAGAGGCTTCACAGCAAGTTCACTCATGGGGGGGCCTTTAAGGTTGGCCGAGGCCGGGGAGGACTGGGCCCTTCCCAAAGGCCTGTGGGGCATGCCGGTGATCGACAAGGACGCCTGGAAAAGGTGGAGCTGCTGCAGGTGCTGCTGGTCTGAAAACTGTAGTGGGGGGGGGGTAGAGAATGATGGATCGAAAGGAGTAAGACCAATTGTGAGCAGATTCTAAATACAGATACTTATTACCCAGATCATACTGGGAGAAAAAAGAAAAACTATGAATCCATTGTGCTGCACACTGCCCATCAAAGGAGAGAAACTGCATGAGGCAGGGCGGGGCGGCCGAGGGGGGGGGGGGGGGGGGGGGGGGGGGGGGGGGGGGGACTAGCCGCTCAAGACAGAGTAGCACCTTATATGTGCAGCTCGGCGACTGCCTGATGGGGCTGCGCTTTGTCAGCCAGGGGCTGCGTCTGCACTGCCTCTGTAAACATGCGGGCGAGCAAGCAGGATCTGCGCTCTGTCAGGATGCTCAGCACTGAGCCCCCAGGCTCGGGGCTGTGGGGGGGCGGGGGGGGAATGATGGGTGACACACACACACAGCGGTCCCTGTCCGTGGCTCGCCGGAGAGACACGGGAAGAGTGCTTGACTGCGCGTTTGAAGCGGCAGTGCGGCGCCCCCCCCCTCCTCCTCGTTATGAATGGGCAGCCAACACCGAGGGAGGGGCTGCAGAACAGGCTTACTCTCCCCCATTGAGATTCACGCCTCTGTCCTCCATGAGCTCATCTGTATTCAGGGGGAGCAGCGGATGAGGAGAACAGTATTAAGGACAGAGAGAAGACAGACATTTGGGGGGGGGGACGAGTCTGCAGGGAGGGGCTCTGCGTTTCTGCGGCTGACTTCAATAACGTCCTTAAGGCTGCGATTTTGGGCCATGCTGCCCGATACGCGACACACGTAACAGACACGCGACACACGTAACAGACACGCGACACACGTAACAGACACGCGTGCACGTTGCCGTTTTAAAAGTGCGGCTGTGAAGACCTCGAATCCTGGTGGGCTAATATTGGGGGGGGGGGGCAGAGCATTAGTCATCCAGAGATGAGTCAGAGACGAGCCCATTCACAGTCCTGTACTCACTGAGACGGGAAAGCGAGGTGGGAGGGGCCAGTGTGTGCGTGTGAGAAAGAGAGAGTGACCAAGCGGGGGGGCTCACACCCCCCCCAGACCCTCCTCTGACATTTCGCTGGCTGACAGCGGCACTGCTGAAGGGCTCACTGTGCCTACGATGTCCACACACTCACCACCTTGCGCCTCATCTAGTGGTGACAGGAAACACGTCGTCTAAGCTGAGCTGCCCCATTAGCTCATTTTTATTGACAACCCCGCTGCACACACACACACACACACACACACACACACACGTGCAAACACACACACGCTGCATTAATGCACCTGTGATTCCAGCCTTGGAGAGATAAGCACTGATTATATGAGCAGCATGCCCCCCCCTCGGCCGGCGTGGCCCACCCTTCCCCAGCAGAACTGAACTGAGCTGTCTGTCACTTTTTCATTAGCGGGACAAACAGCGCCGCGGCCACTGGGGGGCGACCAGCACAGCCGCCGCACATCCAGCCGCACTCTGACTCATGGGGATGAGTCACCTGAAGGCGGGGGAATCTGAACAACACCCCCCCCCCCCACCGCCCCGCTATCGAACCTCTTCGCTATTGTCTGTACATATTCAATGGACGAGGACGGCTCGTTTCAGGAGACCCGACCCCACACCCCATGTGATTCACTGCTGCTGTTGCTCACCTTTCCTCATCTGCGGGGTGCACACAAGCAGCGACTGGGCCAATCTCAGATCCCTTGACTGCACTTCCTGCTAAGCAATCTTCAAGGACATTGAAATGCAAACGCCTGTGTGCAGGAGAGGCTGTCCCACAGAGAGCCTGATCACCGACGCCCTGCTGGCTTTCAAATTCCATGAATTATTTCTTTCTAACACCTAAGTTTGTGGATCTGGATTTCGCCGGAGTCACGAGCCGCCAAAGCCCGAGCTAAACGGGCAGATTAGCATAAACACAATAAGAGCGCAGGCATCTCGACGGACGCCCGCGGCACTCCAGCCCACGCGTGTCACATTTGGGCCCCTGGCTCCTTCTGCTATTTTTATCGCTCTGACGTGCCTTTTTAAAAATACGAACGTGAGGCGGATCTCGCCACGTGTTCGGGAAGTGCCAAGGTGCAGCTCTGTGTCCTGGAGAGGAGATCCGCCATAAACGGTGCGGAGAAATAACCAATAACTGGGCACCAGAAGAGAAAAAGTTTTTATGGTGATCATATAAACTCATCACCTGGGAGTAGGGGATGCCGTGCTCATCATCCTCACGCAGCTCGTCCTCGTCCTCATCTTCCTCCACGTCACTCTCCGTGTTCTCGTCCTTCAGCGTGATTGGCTCTGAGAGAGATGAGACTTCGCCCGGCCTATCGGACGGCAGTTCCTGGCCCTCCCTCATCAGCTCCAGGCCCTCGATCCGGTCCTCCTGCATCTCGGCCGTCTCCGTCAGCTCCTCCTCCGTCTCTTCCGGGTGGCTTGGGGGCTGACGAGGCAGCTCCGTGCCTTTGGAGAGCATCTTTGGGGAAGGAAGGGGGGGAGGGGGGGTCGTTTTAGCCTTGGCTGTCTGTAAAATCACTGCGAGGTCATGGCACCCCACAGTTAGTCATCAGGCAGTGCCGGATAAACAAGTCCGAGGACAGCAGCATGACCATGTCACATATTACAGCTGTGTACATGCTTGTCATCAGATCAGACGTCAGCATGCCCAACCTAAGACCTCACCTGTACCGAAATAATTAAAAAGACAAAAATACTAACTACAGGCAGACAATCAGAGGCGAAAATAAGCGCAAACACGCAGGCAAGACGGGCGGAAGGCACGCTCCTCACGCCCACCTTGTTGAGCTGGATCTGCTGCTGGTACTGCTTCTGCTTCTCCAGGAAGTGCTGGTGCTGCTGTTGCATGACCAGGTGCTGCAGGGCCTGCGGACTCTGGGGCAGCGGCGCTGACTGCGTGCGGCTCAGCGGTCGGTGCCGCGGCAGCTTGTTCACCGTCCGCATGCCGGACGACGTCCGCTCGCCACCCACCAGGGGCGACTGCCCGTAGATCGGCACTGCAGAGGGGACACACATAATGGGAATGTCACACGCTGGACATCTCATACCGCGACTAACAGGCAGTGCAGAGGGACACACATAATGGGAATGTCACACGCTGGACATCTCATACCGCGACTAACAGGCAGTGCAGAGGGACACACATAATGGGAATGTCACACGCTGGACATCTCATACCGCGACTAACAGGCAGTGCAGAGG